CCAAAAGGCTTCCAAATATGGAGAAATTTACTAAAAGCCTGGACTTCCACAATAGCATACCAATAAGGGTTTGTTGATATATACATTAGAATCTGACTTTGGGGGCTGGCGCTGTGGCACAGCAGGTAAAGCTGCAGCCTGTAGTGCCAGCATCCCACTGGCACTTCCCAGAGAACCAGAGTCGGGAGGGGGACTGAGCAGCTGAAAAGAGTTCCCCCAAGTCGCTGACTCCATGCCACACAGGGCCAGCCTGCTGACCTCTGTCCATCTTCCCAAAGCTGGCCACAGGTTAGCCCCGTGAAGTTTCTTCATTTGAACAAATGGACTCTGACAGCAGGGAGAATGTATCAGCCCAGCAAACGGCTGCCACCCTGAGTCCCACTGAGCTGGCCGGGACACGCGTCCCTGTGCAATTAAAAAGATATCAGCACGCCCTGTGGCCCTCCCTCCTATCCTCACCCCTCAGCCCGAGACCAGGACCACTGACCAGCAGAGACAAGGGGATCTGGGGCAGTGGAGAGAGATGTGAGCATCTAGAAGGAAAACAGCTCCAAGGCCAGAGAGGCCGATTGTGGTCCCCTCCATCCTGCCTCACATTCACACTTCTTAGGGCTGATGGGTCCTGTCCTTCCACGACTATGACCTCCCATGCTGAGAACGTGTTGCTGTGACATGGTCACTTGACACAAATTTTAGCTCTACTAGAAGCTGTTTGAGTCTCAGAAGCACCAGGGTCACCATTACATCCAGTAAGCAATACTTGTCTCATAAAGGAACCCTTGTGGAGCACAACTTAACAACGTGTCTTCAAAGACTGTACACTTTGGGGCCGGCGCTATGGCGCAGCAATACCTGCCGTCTGCAATGTTGGCATCCCAAATGGGTGCCAGTTTGAGTCCCAGCTGCTCCACTTCCCATCCAGCTCTCTGCTATGGTCTGGGAAAGCAGTAGAAGATGGCCCAAGTCCTTGGACTCCTGCACCCATGCGGGAGATCCAGAGGAAGCTCCTGGCTCCTGGCTTCGGTCTGGCCCCACCCCATCTTTACAGCCATTTGGGGAGTGAAACAATGGTTGGAAGGTATCTCTCGGCCAGCGCTGCGGCTCAATAGGCTAATCCTCCACCTGCAGCGCCAGCACACTGGGTTCTAGTCCCACTTGGGGCACTGGATTCTATCCCAGTGGCTCCTCTTCCAGGCCAGCTCTCTGCTGTGGCCCCGGAGTGCAGTGGAGGATGGCCCAAGTGCTTGGGCCCTGCACCCCATGGGAGACCAGGAGAAGCACCAGCTCCTGGCTTCAGATCAGCGCGGTGCGCCGGCTGCAGCGCGCCGGCCGCAGCAGCCACTGGGGGGTGAACCAACGGAAAAGGAAGAGATGAATCAGAAGTGGAGCAGCCAGAATTCGAACCGGTGCCCTTATGGGATGCCGGCACTGCAGGCAATGGCTTTACCCGCTACGCCACAGCGCAAGCCCCCATCATGCTCATTCTTATTATGTGGTTGCAATCACAATGAAATCTCTATTAAAAGTTACAACACAAGAATCTGGAATACCGGCTAAGAATAAGTTGGGAGCCAGCGCTGTGGCTCCCAGCTCTCTGCTATGGCATGGGAAAGCAGTAGAAGATGGCCCACATGCTTGGGCCCCTGCAACCACGTAGGAAACCCAGAAGAAGCTCTTGGCTCCTGGCTTCAGATTGGCACAGCTCCAGCCATTGTGGCCAACTGGGGAGTAAACCAGGAGATGGAGGACCTCTCTCTCTGCCTCTCCTCTCTCTGTGTAACTCTTTCAAGTAAAATAGATAAATCTTAAAAAAAAAAAAAAAATCCTGCTTGGGATGCCCATTACCCATATTGGGAGTGCCTGGTTCAAGTCCTGACTCCTCCTTTTCTGACACAACTTCCTGCCAACATGTACCCTGAGAGCCAGCAGATGATGGTTCAAGTACTTGGGTCACTACCACCCCTGTGGGAGACGTGGATTGGGTTCTAGCCTCCTGGTTCCAGTCTGGCCCAGCCTTGGCTCTTGCAAGCATTTGGGGAGTGAACCAGTAGATGGAAGATATTTCTTTTTGCCTTTCAAATAAATTTTAATTTTTTAATTGAATGAAAAATAGCTATTATGAAAAAGCTATGCATGACTTTCAAAATTTCTTTGCACCAATTGCCTTCTAATTCCATTTTCCATGAACTTCTGAAGTACTCTTGCATTTGTACTTAAAAAGTGTAAGATTTTTAGAGAAATACTATAAATGATACTAGGCTATAATTATCTAGCTCATTTTATTTAGACAATTTTTTTTATTTTTCAAACATTTATTTATTTATTTATTTATTTGAAAGGCAGAATTGCAGAGGGGCGAGGCAGAGAGAAAAGTCTTCCATCCACTGGCTCACTCCCCCAGCGGCCGCAACGGCCAGAGTTCAGTTGATCTGAAGCCAGGAGCTTCTTCTGAGTCTCCCACCAGGGTGCAGGGGCCCAAGGACTTGGCCATTTTCTACTGCTTTCCTGGGCCATGGCAGAGAGCTGGGTTGGAAGTGGAGCAGCTGGGACTTGAACCAGCGCCCTTATGGGATGCCAGCACCGCAGGCAGAGGTTTTACCCGCTACACCACAGCACCAGACCCCTAGACATTCTAATCGGAAAACGTATTTCTTGAAACCTGACAAACAGAAATAATTGCCTCCATAATGAGAGGGGCATCTAGAGACTAAGAACTGGCAATTTTTTTTAAAGATTTATTTATTTGAAAGGCAGAGTCACAGAGAGAGGAGAGACAGAGAGATCTTCCATCCACTGGTTCTCTCCCCTAATGGCTGCAATGGCCAGAGCTGGCCAACCTGATGCCAGAAGCCAGGAGCTTCTTACAGGTCCCCCACACGGGTGTAGGGCCAAAGCACTTGGGCCATCTTCCACTGCTTTCCCAGTCCATAGCAGAGAGCTGGATCAGAAGTGGAGCAGCTGGGGCTGGGATACAACCAGCACCCATACTGGATGCCGGGCTATGGGGGGGGGGGGGGCTTAACCTGCTATGCTACAGTGCCAGTCCCTAAGTTACTTCTTAAAATTCTAAATAACTTGTATCATCTTGAAATTCATACTTACAATAGTGAAATTGGGGGAGGGGCTGCCTGTTTTAGTAAAAACAATTAAAAATGTTTATTATTGGATAAAATATACAAAATAATCTAAATGTGATTTTATTGATGACTGTGATTTTTCTAAAAGAGAAAGGCAAAAGCTTTCCTAAAACATCCATGAATCCCTGATCTGTGGATGGTTTCTACCAAGGGAATATCACCTATTCTGCTTAAGAAAAGCATTTTGTTGTCTAATATGGATGCATATTTTAATTGAAAATTTATTATAAGCTAGTATTTTAAAATAATGTGTTCCTGGGGCTGGCGCTGTGGCAAAGCAGGTAAGGCCGCTGCCTGCAGTGGTGGCATCCCATGTGGGCATCCATCCTGGCTAATCCAATTCTGATCCAGCTCTCTGCTATATCCTGGGAAAGCAGAAGATGGCCCAAGTGCTTGGGCCCCTGCACCCGCATGGGAGACCTGGAAGAAGCTCCTGGCTCTGGCTTCAGATTGGTGGAGCTCCAGCCGTTGCAGCCAATTGAGGAGTGAACTAACAGATGGAAGACCTCTCTCCCTCTCTCAGCCTCTCCTTTTCTCTCTGTGCAACTCTTTCAAAAAAATAAATAAATCTTAAAAAAGAAAAAAGGAAAGAATGTGTTCCTCCTGAAAATGCAACCGACTGCAGAATTGTGCTCTTCTATCTGTATGTTCCCTCCCCCCCAAAAAAATTGACTTTTTGATATGCAAATGCAGTCTCAATGGGACATCACACACAAATGTTTGAAATATTAACTTCATTAGGAAAACTGATAGTTGTATTGGGTCACATAATCGAACACCTAATCGTAAAGCTATGTTGTCTGAAGACATCAATTACAGTATGGATTTTTTTTCCTGCTCGTTCAATGAATACTGGAGCACTGACAAGCTCCAGGCACGGGAGACACGGGGTCAGCAGGAGGCCCCTTGCTCTCACGGGCAGTGTCACACCAAGTCATTGCAGAGTGCGCTTTACAAGGGCACCCAGAGGGAAGCTAAGCCAGTGCTGGCTGTGGCAGACATTCCTCAGTCAGAGGGGTTAAAGTGAAGAAGGAACTGCAAAGCAGTTCAAGCAGAGAGTACTGGAGACCCTAAGGAAGGGAGGATCCGGTGGGCTCGAAGAACTGGGAGAAGCCCACAATGACTGGAGTCACGCTCCTGTGAGAAGAGGAGTCCAGCAGATCACAGAGGGCTTTCGGGGTTTGGCACTTTGGGGCGGGGGGGGGGGGGGGGAAGCTATTGTAATCCATAAGCTGTACTTTGGAAATTTATGTTCATTAAATAAAATAAAATAAAAAAATAAGAAACCATGAAGGGCTCTAAGTGGGAGGGTGGCATGGCCACAGGTGCACTTCTCTAACTCCAGAACAAGGGGCTCCCTGGACTAGGCTGGAGGCAGGCAGCCCGTGTCGAAGGCCTGTGGTGCTGAGAGGATTCGAGAGAGAGTTAGAAGGCAAAATCAGCAGGACTTGACGGCTGAGTGCACGGCTCCTCGAAGACACCCAGGGAGCGTGCATGAGAGACCTGGGAGACAGGCACGGCTGAGTTCAGAACTCAGTGCAGGACTCATCCGCACTTTGATGGCAACTGAAGCCAGCAGAGGGGCTAGAATGGCTTCACGGAAACAAATCAAGCCATGAGAAACTCATGCACTGTGCCAGGGGCCGGAGGCAGGGAAAATCGGGAGTTACCGTGAAATGGATGGGGAGTTTCACTTAGGGACGATGAGTGAATTCCAGAGACGGATGGCAGTGAAGGCTGCACAACAGTGCGAGGGTACTTAATGCACTGAACTGTACACGCAAAATGGTTCAAATGGTACATTTTATATATATGTATACATAAACCTTACTATAATAAAAAAGACAAAGAGACACTTCTGTGTTATTTTTATCTTTTATTAAGAATGTATTCATGTCTAATAAAATCAAAGCAAATAATGAAACAGAGAAGGATCAGTAAAGGAAGAGGCGCCTACACAGGAAACAAAGTGGCCCAGGAGGCTGGGAGAACACCTGGAGTGTTAGGTCAGGAGAGCTAAGGACAGCACTTCAGGGAGGTAGCATCCAACCGACTTGAATGCTGTGGAGCGAAGCCACACAAGGTCAAAAAGAACCCACGAGTTTCAGCAACATGGAGATCAAGGGTGACCTCAGAGAGCCACTGGTGAAAGAAGTCAGAGAGGAACAGAGTGAGGAGGGAGCAGGCTGACAGAGCCCGGAGTGCAGACAATGCACAGTATCCCCAGCCTGGGAAGCAGCAGGAGGGCGGCAGAAGGGGAGAGTAATAGACGGCTGAGATCAGGCATAATCAGCAACACAATCGTTTCAATGGAAATGAACTTCAACAACTAACTTCAATAATTTATACCATTTACAGGTTAAAGAGCTTTTCGTGCTGCTTGTAGGGCAGAAAGGATAACTGGAAATTATTCTCTTCATTCTGTGGGTGGCAAATTGATTTTCTTTAAGTAGCCTAAAAGGAATTAATATTCACCAAATAGATATCCTTGTTGATGTTTTTAAGGCAGAAAAGCACAATGAACTGTGCTAAAAAAATTTACTGTACTAGCCACATGTTCAAAAAGTGTAAAATCTTAAAGCTATTACATGTGCTAATTTCTGGTACATGTCCAGTGGAAAACACTTTATATTCTGGTTACATCCTGAAGATGCCAAACTCAGACTTCTGGATCGGTGCGTTGAGGGCGGCACTAATGCTGAGACCCAGGACCATTCTGGTGTCGACCGGATCAATAATGCCATCATCCCAGAGCCTGGCAAAAGAACACAATGTGAGCTGTGATGAATTTACCACCAAACCACCACTTATATACTCCAGGTAACACATGTATCCACAGGTCAACCTCTGTGTACCACAGTCAAGAGAGGGCACAGAGAGGAAAAGGAGACATTCGCACAGCCTTTGTCCCAGGCCATCACAGAATGCCACACAGAGATGAAGGCTTCACAAACTGCTCACTGCGTGGAATCTCAAAGGGATCCCTGGCTTACAAATATTTTTGCTTATTTCAGGAAAAACTCTCCTGTTCCTCTTTTGTCCACAACAATGTACAAATCAAGCTGCTGTATTTCTGTCAGTAATATGGAGACACGAGGATCCAGGTAATAACCTCAAATGAGGGGCCAGCATTGTGGTGCAGAGCTAAGCCTCCACTTGCAACGCCAGCATCCCAAATCAGAATACCACTTCGAGTCCTGCTGCTCTGCTTCTGATCCAACTTCCTGTTAACGCACCTAAGAAAGCAGCAGTGTTGGTCCAGGTAGTTGGGCCCCTGCCATCCATGTGGGAGACCAGGATGGAACTATGGGCTCCTGGACGCTATGGGACACTGGAGAGTGAACCAGAGGAGGGAAGATCTCTGTCTCCTTTCTCTCCTTCTCTCTATATTGCTCTGCCTTTCAAACAAATAATTCCTTAAAAAAAAATCTGAGTCTTTACTGGGAAAGGTGAATTCCCCCAAACTTTTAAGAAATTATACGAATTACTAAATAAGTTTCAGTATATTTTATCAATTAAAAAAACCTTAAATATTTTTGTCACAAAAAGACAAGTGCAGTTATAACTTTAAACTGTTTTCAGAAGAAACTTTTTTAAAGATTTATTTACTTATCTGAAAAATGAGTAAGAAATATTACTTTCAACGGTTATTAGTAGGTGGCATTTTTGCTTTCTTTAAACAATCTGCCTTCAATATCTGGACATGGCATGAATTATTAAACCATTCTTCCACTAACAGACATGAATCAAATCTCTGCTCATAAAATATTTATAACAGGGACCCTAAAGTATCAAGGGCCAAAAAGAAGAAAGTCACCCTTGAAATCTGTGACAGGTGCACGGCCCATCCTCCCCCCTCCCCCTGCCCCCAGCCTGCAGCACAAGGAGGAAAGGGCTGGTTAACCATGCTCATTAAGAAAGCAGCTCATCATATGAAATACACAAAACTTGTTCCCTTTATATAAATAAAATAAAAGATAGCTCATCTGCTGACTGCAAAAGCAGCTCAGCAGAAGTAAACAGCACACTGTGTGTGTAACATAGAAGGGTAGGGTAAGCACCAGAGGGCCCAGGACAGCTGACAGATAACCCTGCTCTCTGAAAAGACACATCCAGCCTTGTCCAAGCCTAATTAGGCCGCCGGTCAAGGAGTTTTATCGTTAAGCTGAGCTTTACTAAACTGGAGGAAGGCATGAAAATCCTTTCATGTGTGGCTGGCACTGTGGCGTAGTGGGATAAGCCTCCACCTGCACACCGGCATCCCATATAGACACCAGTTCATGTCCCAGATGCTCCTCTTCTGATCCAGCTCTCTGCTGTGGCCTGGGAAAGCAGTGGAAGATGGCCCAAGTGCTTGGGCCCCTGCACTCGCTATGGGCCCAGCTCCAGCCAATGCAGCCATTTGGGGAGTGAAGCAGTGGATGGAAGACCTTTCTCTCTGTCTCTCCCTCTCTCTTTAACTCTACCTTTTAAATAAATAAATAAAATCTTAAAAAAAAAAAGCAACTGGGGACAAAAATCAAATATACTTTAAAAAATAAAAAAAGAATAGAAAATCCTTGCATCTTTCAAAGTTGCTATCTCCTAACCACTAACTCAAAAGAAGGTTTTACTCATCTACAAATTAACAAAAAATCTGATTTTGATTTTTAAAGATTTATTTTTTTTTATTTGAAAGTCAGAGTTACAGAGAGAGATCTTTCATCTGAATCATTCCCCCAGATGACCACAATGGCCAGGGCAGGGCCAGGCTGAAGCCAGTAGCCAAGAGCTTCATCTGGGTCTCCCACATGGGAGGAGCAGGGGCCCAAGCACTTGGGCCATCTTCTGATGCCTTCCCAGGCCATTAGCAGGGAACTGGATTGAAAGTAGAGCAGCCGGGACTTGAACCAGTGCCCATATGGGATGCTAGCACTGCAGGAAGCGGCTTCACCTGCTACGCCATGGTGCCAGCCCCCAATAATCTGACTTTTGACATTAATTTCCAAATATAAAGTTGTATTTATGAAATGCATGAAGTTTGTATTCCTTAAATACAAGGTTTCTGAGAAAAAATAAATAAATCTCCAAAGATAAGCCTGTTTGGCCCATATGATCTCCTGCCTTGAATGTAATCCCCAAAACAATAATAATTTTAGTAAGAAAATAATAAAGGATGCAATCTTACTCAAGAGATGACTTATCTTAACCAGGGCTGAAAAACAAGTTAATAATGTCTTACCCAAGACAGGCTATTTTTCAAATTTAATATTCCAACAGTCCCTGCACATTTCAGTCAAAATCCTATGCAAGGGGCCAGAGTTTTGTCACTTGAGACACTTGTATTCCATAATGAAGTGTCTGGCTTCAAATCTTGGCTCTGCTTCCAACTCCAGCTCTTGCTGAAGCACATCCTGGGATGCAGAGGGCGATGTCTCAAATGTTGGGTCCCTGCCACACACATCAAAGACTGGATGGAGCTCCAGGCCGCTGGCTTCTGCCTGGCCCAGCCCTGGCTGCTGTAAACATGGGGGGAGTGGATGGGAAAAAATCTCTTTTCTGCATCTGTTTCTCTCTCCCTCCTGCTCCATCTGCCTTTTAAAAATAAATAAATAAATAATAAATAAATAAAATTTAAAAATCGTATGTGGACAAGAATTGTAGGTAACCTCACAATACAGACTTCGTCTTAAACCTTACATAGACTTCTTCGGCTTCTCTGCCTCTACTGGCTACTCCATAAGTCTGCTTGCCTTATGGCAAAATGATGAACATGTTGCTTTCTGACCCAAAGATTAAAATATTTCACACTTAATTGAATTCATGACACACAACAAAATATACCTGTAATGTGTTTGTGAAAATGTGTACTTGGTAAGGAGGGAAACAGGCTTTTAAAACAATCCCAAATGGCATGATTGGAACATTCAGGCTAAGTACGCTCTTACAAATCTGGGTGCCTGGTCACGGTGCCCCTGTGCTGAGCAGGGCCCCCGTAAAGCATGCTCTCAAATGACTGACTGCCCTTCTCTCCCTCCTCTCATTTGCCTTCACCTGCAAATGGCATCCATCACAGCATAACCTAATTGTAAAAGGTGAAATATTTATACGATATGGAGAGAAACCAGAGTATAACATAACCTAACTGTAAAAGACACAGATAGTTAAGGTCTTTTTTCTACCTGTCCAAAGATGGGAGAAAGACATGCAGCTTGGATGCATCCTAGGACCCAGAACATTACAGGTGCTCAGAAGTCCGGAAGCACAGGCCAGCAAGGCTGCAGCTGGGCCGGCCGCATTAAGTGGTTGGTGTAAGAAACAACCAACAGCTGCAAGAGAGTGTCTGGCAACTACCTGGAGCGGACACAGGGACCTGAGCTGGGACCAATCACCAATCACCTTCTAAATGCACACACAAACTGCTAGCGAGTACCAGTAAGTACTCAGACTAGTGCTTAATCGGGGTGCCAACAAAAGCGTCAGAGACAGGGGTAGGACAGGAGTGTGCACTGTTAAACACAAATCAGAGCCAACTCCTGAGAGTGAGAGCTGAGGCTGTGCCCTGATTCCCAGCTCCCAGGAAGCCCGCCAGGCTCCCAACACCTGAAGCGGGGGGTGGCACATGGGGAGGGGCCGAATCCCACACTGGCGGCGGCTCCGCAGTGCAGGGAAGCTGGGCAGAGGGGGGCATCGGCATTTCCCATCTAAAAGAGACAGCAGGCAAAGCCTCTTTTTGTGCAAACCCTAGTGGTGCTCCCTGTGAGCGCTGCGCCACCCCACCCGCTCAGGCCTACAGATGGCTGCGATGCAGCCGGCAGGTGAGCTCTGATCCGGCTCCCACCTTGCACTGGAGTAGTAGGGGTTTCCCTCCTCTTCGAACCTCTTGATGATGGGCTCCTTCAGAGCAGATTCTTCAGCACTGGAGAACTGGAAAAAAAGGGCCTGGTGTCAGGGGGCTGCGGGGGGACAACAGACCACAGCCCACAGGCTGCATGCTCACCAGGAACAGCTACACGTGGAAGAACCAAAAAGCAATGCAGGACACCAGAAGAATCCTGAACAGACACACAGACAGCAAGAGACTTCATTTTTAGGGGCCGGTGTTGTGGCACAGTGGGTAAAATGGTCTCCTGCAATGCTGGCACCCGAATCAGAGCGCCAACTCGAGTCCTGGCCCCTCTGCTTCCGGTCCAGCTCCCTGCTGATGGGCTTGGGAGAAGCAGCAAATGATAACACAACTAATTGGGTCCCTGTCACCCAGGTGCGAGACCCGGATGGAGTTCTAGGCTCCTGGCTTCAGCCTGGACCATATTTGGCTGTTGTGACAGCAGATGGAAGATCTGTGTCTCCCTCTCTTGCTGTCACTTTGCCTTTCAAATAAATAAAATAAATCTTTAAAAAAAAAAAAAGATTGCATGTCAACAACAGCTACGTGCTGACTGGCCTGTCATCCTGGCCTCGTTCTCAGTCTGCTTGATTCAGGTCTTGAGGACTGAGCCCTCCCACTCAAGGGATCCAAAGGCAAAATAGAGGAAAGGGGGTGGGGGGGTGGGGGGACAGAAAATGTGTGAGCAGCCAAAACTGCTGAACCCACTCCCAGGTCAGCATCTTCTAAACAAAGGCAGATACCCTCCAGTGAACCCAGAGGGCATCCGGGAGCCCCGCCCCTCCACTCCAGGCACTCACAGCTCAAAGCCCAACCCCAGGGGAAGAGACCCATTTACCTGCTTCCCTTCCCGCGCCTTTTGGTCCTTGGTTACGGTGGCTAACACATTGGCTGCCTGCTCTCCTCCCATCACTGAGATGCGAGCGTTTGGCCAAATGTACAGAAACCGAGGGCTGGGGAGAAAGAGAAGAGGAACTGATCAAATTAATTCAGAGGAGCGCAGAGAGGTGTGCGGAGGTCCTTGCCTGCCTTTTAACCGCGCGGTTCTTGCTTCCTGCTGCACTGCCATCACCTGCCGAGCTTTCAGAAGCAACACTGACACGGGAACCTAGTGCAGGCCCCAGCAGTGAGGCCTGTGCGACGTGGCACTGACCAGGTCATCCGCGACATCCCTTTGCCCCGCGGTCACGCCCCGTTGCGCACTGCTGATACTGCACTGAGGGGTCCTCAAGCTTGCTAAACCTTCCCAAACAAACCCGTCTGGCACTGTGCTCACTCTCCTCCCTCTCTGCTTCTTGTCTGCACTTTCCATTTTCCTGGGATTTAATGCATGTTTCCCTTCTAACTTCCTGTACTACACGTTCATTTCACTGACTTTCCGCCTTACTTCTTTTCCAGCCTATACATTTATACAAGGCTACAACCTTTCACAAAACAAGCCCTTAACTGTCAATTCACAAGTCTTCATGGGCCGTATTTTCGTTATCAGCCATTTCTGATATCTCCTGGCTCCCACTGTAGAATTTTTCCTAATACTACACTGAACATTGAATTTAATTTCACCTGGCCAGATGGTACAGATTACAGTATAACGGATCAATGTCGTTCTGTATTTTAAATAAACCTGAAATCAACCACTTACGATTACCCTTCAAGTGTGTCTCCTTCTCAGCCACCCACCTATAAGCTCTGCCGCACATCCCATAGTTTCCAGCCCCGTAGGATCCCCCAATGATGACGGTTATCTTGGGCACTTTGGCGCAGGCTACGGCAGTCACCATCTTGGCGCCATCCTTGGCAATTCCTTCTGCTTCATAGTCTCTACCGACCATAAACCCTAGGAGGAAGGACAGACAGAGCCTGTGGGTGATGCGGTTGTTGAGAAGTCCCACTGAGGTAGCAGAAGCACAGCTTGCCTGACCGTCTCTACGTGAAATATGCTCTCAACAAAGTTTGCTTTAAAAGTAAAATTCCCTCTGACAACTTCTAAACTTTTCTCCCAAGAGCTCCTCGGGAGGCACACAGAGATGACTGAACAGCACAAGGGTGCAATCTACCTGCACGAAATCCTCAGGGCGGGCACTTGACGATGACAGAATGTGACACTAAGCTAAGCCGCGGTCACCGCCAGGCCAGGCCAGGCCGCGGGCTTCCGGATTCGCTGACCTGGTTTAACAACACAGGCTGATCTTTCAGAGCGAAGTTTTAAACTTTGATGAAATGAAGATTAATGTTTCATGGAGACACTTGGAGTCCCCGCCAGTGACTCAGTAGTGAGGTTAGAAAGACGTGTCCTTCAGTGTCATGGCAGGACATTCTGCTTCCTCAAGCCCCTGCTGAAACTGCCCTGTGGTCTCTGTGCCTCTCAGGGCGAGGGCTCGTCCCTCTTCCCCTGATAAACACCGAGTCAGCCTCCACTGGCCTCCCTCCCTGAGCGGGTCTCTGACAAAGGCCTCTCTCATGCGGGTACCGTAGCTTTGCACATCTCCAGCACTGGGTCATCCAGTTCAACCCTGACAACTCCTAGGGAGCACCTCACTCACTGTGGTCGCCACAGGAAGGACAGCACTGTCCCTACCAACCTTTACAGGGCACTCTCTGCCTCCTCCCATTACCCTCCCCAGCCGGCCCTCAGAATAGCACAGAACCAGGGCCAGTGCTGTGGCATAGCAGGTAAGGCCGCCACCTGCCATGCCAGTATCCCACATGGGCACTGGTTTGAGTGGCTGCCCCACTTCCCAACAGCTCTCTGCTATGGGCTGGGAAAGCAGTAGAAGATGGCCCAAGTTCTTGGGTCTCTGCACCCATGTGGGAGACCCGGAAGAAACTCCTGGCTCCTGGCTTCAGATCGGCTCAGTTCCGGCCATTGAGGCCAACTGGGGAGTGAACCAGTGGATGGAAGACCTCTCTTTCTCGCTCTGCCTCTGCCTCTGCCTCTCTGTCTGCCATTCAAATAAATAAATAAATAATTAAAAAGAAGAAGAAGAAGAAGAAGCAGAAGAAGAATAGCACAGATTCATCCAGGAGCCGACCACACATCTCCAAATGGGTATCTCACAGCTCCCTCAAAGACTAAACTTAACTCTGCTCACTGCTTCCAACACAGGCAAACAGAACAAAAACACAGGGAACTTCCAAGCACAACGCTGAACTCAGTGTTGGTTAACAATCCACAGATCATTATCAGAAAGAAGGTCCCGGCCAGCGCCGCGGCTCACTAGGCTAATCATCCACCTGCGGCGCCGGCACCCGGGGCTCTAGTCCCTGTCGGGGCGCTAGATTCTGTCCCAGTTGCCCCTCTTCCAGGCCAGCTCTCTGCTGTGGCCCGGGAAGGCAGTGGAGGATGGCCCAAGTGCTTGGGCCCTGCACCCCATGGGAGACCAGGATAAGTACCTGGCTACGGGCTTCGGATTAGTGCGGTGCGCCGGCCGCAGCGCGCCAGCCACGGTGGCTGTTGGAGGGGGAACCAATGGCAAAGGAAGACCTTTCTCTCTGTCTCTCTCTCTCACTGTCCACTCTGCCTGACCAAAAAAAAAAAAAAAAAAAGTGCCAAGTGGACTATGGGAATACATTTTCATCTTCTACGTGTGCTGCCGTGTGGTCATCACTCCTTCCAAAACTCATCGAGGATCTCCAACCTCAGCCTGGCACGGGAGGAAGCAGAGTCCTCACAGTCTTGTTTAAAGCCCGAGGCACTGTCAGGGGCGGGACCCCTTTTCTCAGGAAGGCTCGCCTGATCCCAACACCACAGAGGGAAGAGCCTCTCCTTCCGAAGCTGCGCCTTAGAAGTTTGAAGGGAAAAGGAAGTTTTTTGATTGTTTGTTTGTTTTGACAGGCAGCGTGGACAGTGGGAGAGAGAGACAGAGAGAAAGGTCTTCCTTTGCCGTTGGTTCACCCTCCAATGGCCGCCGCGGCCGGTGCACTGCAGCTGGCGCACCGCACTGATCCAAAGGCAGGAACCAGGTGCTTCTCCTAGTCTCCCATGGGGTGCAGGGCCCAAGCACTTGGGCCATCCTCCACTGCCCTCCCTGGCCACAGCAGAGAGCTGGCCTGGAAGGGGGGCAACCAAGACAGAATCCGCGCCCCGACCGGGACTAGAACCCAGTGTGCCAGCGCCGCAAGGTGGAGGATTAGCCTATTGAGATGCGGCGCTGGCCGGAAAAGGAAGTTTTCTGCTAACCAACATGAGTGCCTCCTGTATGGCAGGCCCTGTGCAACATATGGAGAAGCATAGAAGACAAGTATGGAAGAGTTGTCTGGAGAACAGAACCCTGGAACTGAAAGACTTCAAAAATCATTTCATCCACTGTGTGCAGATCATCCATGGAACACAAAGTCCAGAGAGCTGACAAAACTCTTTGGAGGTAAAATTGAAATCCCATGATTTTGGCCCAGGATATATGTGTCCATTTTGAAAATATTTTGCTCCAGGTAACTGTGCAACAAAAGATAAAGAAAGGGGAAGCCCAGAACATTTGCTTGAAACCCAGGGGGAATGAGGCACTGGGGAAGAACCGGCGGACCAGATACCACCTCTGGCAGAGCTCAGCCCGTGTTCCTGCAGAGAAGGCTGTGTGGGGAGGAGAGAGGCCATTTGAATGCTTATGATTTACATAACTCAGAAATTGCTTCACTTAGGAAATGTGCATAATGGCCTCAAAATATTTAACATTCACAAAGAAAAGTGTGCACACCCTGAAAGAGACCCTGGGAAGAGCACTCAGTAGAGCTGTCTGCTGGGAGGGAAGGGGTCTACGGCTGTGCCGTCCTGCACGGGCCACTCAAGTCTGCGCAGCTCTGGGATCAATGCAACCAAACTGATTCTCACCAGTAATGTTTTGAAGGAACAGCAGGGGAGTATTTCTTTGGCAGCACAGCTGGATGAAGTGAGCAGCCTATAAGTAAATAACAGAAATCTCTTTAAAAGGGAGTTAGCAACTCTATAATCATCATGCATCCTATGAGTGCCACAACTTGGGTCAAAGACAGGAAACGACGCTGTTTGTTTGGCTGTCTGACCTTGTACGGACAGTAACAGTGATCGCACAATGCTGCCCCCTTATCAACAGGATAGATGTCACCGTGGGTTCGTGCTCTGCGTGTTTTGCATGATCACCCGTGGAATCACAGGCTCATGGCTGTAGGGCAACTGCATCGAGGCTGAAGCCAGTCACTAACATTCCCAACAGAAGGGGAAAGTTCAGTCAGAGAAAGGGAAGAACTGCTGCCAGTGAGAATGCTGATCTTTGCTGTAAGACAATCCTCTAGTTCACCACTTTAGAGAAGACAGAATGCTAAGTCCTTTTGGGATATCAAAGATGACATTTACATTCTGATGACCATCTGAAATTCTCTCATGCATCAAGATTATAACAAAATCTATCTTTCAAGGGGCTGGCATGTGGTGTAGTAAGTTAAATCACTGCTTGCGGTGCCAGCATCCCATATCACAGTGCTGGTCTGAGTCCTGCCTGCTCTGTATCTCACCCAGCTCCCCGCTCACATGCCTGAGAAAACAGTGCAGGATGGCACAAATATCTGGGCCCCCATTACCTACACAGGACTTGGGTGGACTTACAGGCCCCTGGTTCAGCCTGGACAAGCCCTGGCTGGTCATGGCCAAACAGCGGATGGAAGATCTCTTTCTCTCTCCCTCTCTCCCTGTCTCTCTGCCTTTCAAATAAATGAAATAAATCTTTAAATATATATATAGGGGCCAGCGCTCTGGCACAGTGGGTTAAAGCCCTGGCCTGGAGTGCCGGCATCCCATATAGGCACCAGTTCAAGTCCTGGCTGCTCCACTTCCAATCCAGCTCTCCACGACGGCCTGGGAAAGCAGTAGAAGATGGCCCAAGTCCTTGGGCCCCTGCACCCATGTGGGAGACCCGGAAGAAGCTCCTGGCTCCTGGCTTCGGATCGGCACAGCTCCAGCTGTTGTGGCCATCTGGGGAGTGAACCAGCAGATGGAAGACCTTTCTCTCTTGTCTCTACCTCTCTCTGTAACTCTATCTTTCAAATAAATAAAATAAATCTTGGGGCCAGCACCGTGGCTCACTTGGTTAATCATCCACCTGCAGCGCCGGCATCCCATATGGGCACCACGTTCTAGTCCCGGCTGCTCCTCTTCCAGTCCAGCTCTCTGCTGTGGCCGGGAAGGCAGTGGAGGATGGCCCACACGCTTGGGCCCCTCCACCCGTGTGGGAGACGGGGAAGGAGCACCTGGCTCCTGGCTTCGGATCAGCGCAGCGCCAGCCGTAGCGGCCATTTGGGGAGTGAACCAAACGGAAGGAAGACCTTTCTCTCTGTCTCTTCCTCTCACTGTCTAATTCTATCTGTCAAACAAAAAAATCTTTAAACTATATAGATAGATACACACACACATATATATATATATATTATATATATGTGTATATTTTACCATCATACCCCCCAAATGAGGATACTTCAAAAAGGTTGTGGGGCCGGCGCCGTGGCTCAATAGGCTAATCCTCCACCTTGCGGCGCCAGCACACCGGGTTCTAGTCCCGGTCGGGGCGCGGATTCTGTCCCGGTTGCCCCTCTTCCAGGCCAGCTCTCTGCTATGGCCAGGGAGTGCAGTGGAGGATGGCCCAGGTGCTTGGGCCCTGCACCCCATGGGAGACCAGGAAAAGCACCTGGCTCCTGGCTCCTGCCATCGGATCAGTGTGGTGCGCTGGCTGCAGCGGCGGCTATTGGAGGGTGAACCAACGGCAAAGGAAGACCTTTCTCTCTCTGTCTGTCTCTCACTGTCCACTCTGCCTGTAAAAAAAAAAAAAAAGAAAGAAAAAGGTTGTGGGAAAATGCAATTAAAGTGTAAGTTTAAATCCCAAAACAGACTGATCTTTTAATTCCATTTTTCCACAACCTTTTTGAAGTACCTTTGTAAACAGTACTTCTAATCTTGAACTTAGAAAATTATTTAATGGTACAAAAATGGGGGCCGGCATTATGGTGTAGTGGGTAAGACCAGCATCCCATATGGGCTCCAGTTTGAGTCCTGGTTGTTCCATTTCCAACCCAGATGCCTGCTAATGTGCCTGGGAAAAGCAGAGAAAGACAGCCCAAGACCTTGGGCCCCTGCACCCACTGGAAGAAGTTCCTGGCTCCTGGCTTTGGACCAGCCCAGCTCCAGCCGTTACGGCTATTTGGGGAGTGAACCAGTGGATGGAAGAGCTCTCTCTTTCTCTCTGTGTCTCCTTCTCTGTCTATAACTCTGCCTTTCAAATAAATAAATAAGTCTTTAAAAAATAATAATGGTACAAAAATGTAACTGTTCCCTCCCTATTGTCTAAAGATCATGTGAGTAAGAAAACTCTCATCAACCACTTCCTTTATGTTTTTCTCTATTTGCAGATCCCATTACCTCTGCTGGAAAGATCTTGGCAGGTAGAAAATTGCCAAGTAATTGCTCAACCTGAATAAGACTGTGTTTACAAGAATGAGGAAATCACACAGACCTCTGGGGCTTACTTCAACAAATGAGATGTCAGACTGAGCCAGACCCAACCCCTCCAGGGTTTATGTGTGCCCAGACAAGAAATAAAACCAGATGGAGTCTGTTCCTCCCCAGTCAGATGTTGCCTCCATTTCAATAAGTATACTAGATATACAGTAAAAGGCATTATTTCAGGAACAGGTACTATTTGGAGAAACACGCACTACACTGGTAATTGAAAACAAGTAAAACCTCTTTCTATATAGATGGCAATACACATTTTGGGTTTTGTTTTGTTTTTCAAAAAAGAAAAAAACTAAGGAAACAAAAGTAAATGTTCCTAAAGGTTATTTCTGGCATGGTGATTTTATTTTTTAATTTTTACTTGATTGTTTCCATTTCATAAGTGACTTGAGGGAACAATAATGAATAGCAGGATATAGAAGCCGATTTTATTGACAGAACATTTCACCAAAGAAAAATGCCTCCCCAAAGGGGGCTTGAAAAAGCTTAGGTGCCTGTCATCTTTTTTCTTAAGAAAACATTTTATCAAAGAAGAACATGAATTACATTTACGCCAATTTCAGCAAAGCTGAGATAGCTAATGTATGAAATCAAACACTAAGTTGAACAATGTTCAAGAACTCCCCCTTTTAAAGTCTGAGCTCCAGTATCAAAGACTCAATGCTTTTCCATTTCTAAAAAATAAAAATAGAATAAAGCTGAAAAGGGATCGACAGGAGGGAACACACCACGCCTCAGGACCTGGGAACCTCGCCAGAATAAGGCACTTTCAGAACGAGTGCTCTCTACCTTCTTAGAACATAAGCACATGCAAGGCTGGCATTGTGGCAAAGAGGGTTAAGCCACTGCCTGCAATACTGGCATCCCATATGGGTGCCAGTTCAAGTCCCAGCTGCTCCACTTCTTTTTTTTGGTTTGTTTTTGTTTTGTTTTTTTGTTTTGGACAGGCAGAGTTAGACACAGAGAGAGAGAGAGACAGAGAGAAAGGTCTTCCTTTTCCGGTGGTTCACCTCCCAAATGGCTGCTATGGCTGGTGTGCTATGGCTGGCGCGCTGCACCGATCCAAAGCCAGGAGCCAGGTGCTTCCTCCTGGTCTCCCATGCGGGTGCAGGGCCCAAGCACTTGGGCCATCCTCCACTGCCTTCCCGGGCCACAGCAGAGAGCTGGACTGGAAGAGGAGCAACTGGGACAGAATCCAGCGCCCCAACCAGGACTAGAACCCAGGGTGCCGGCGCCACAGGCGGAGGATTAGCCAGTGAGCCACGGCGCCAGCCGCTGTTCCACTTCTGATCCAGCTCTCTGCTAATGTGCCTGGGAAAGCAGCAGAGGATGGCCCAAGTGCTTAGGCCTCTGCACCCTTGTGGAGACACAGATGAGGCTCCTGGCTTTATCCTGGCCCAGTTCCAGCCACTTGGCCTTTAGGGGAGTAAAACAGCAGATGGAAGATTTCTTTGTCCCTCTCTCTCTGAAACTCTGCCTTTCAAATAAATAAATAAATCTTTAAAAAAAAAAATACATGTGCGTGTCCTCTATAGCAACTATACTTCAAGTACCATCCAATAATTGTCCTAGGAGCCGGTGTTGTGGCATAGTGGGTTAAGCCACCATCTGCAACTCTGGCATCCCACATAAGTGCCAGTTCCAGTCCAAGCTGCTCTTCTTCCAATCCAGCTCCCCACTAATGGCCTGGGAAAGCAGCGGAAGATGGTCTAGGTCTTTGAGTCCCTCACATGGTAGATCCAGATGGAGTTCCAGGCTCTTGGCTTCAGCCTGGCCCAGCCCTAGCCATTGCAGCTATTCAGGGAGTGAACCAGAAGATGGAAGATATCTAGATATCTCTGACTCTGTAACTCTGCCTTTCAAATAAATAAATAAATATTTAACACACACACACACACACAAGAACTGTCCTAAGATGAGGACACTCATTTTTCGATAGCCCATCAATGACACCATGTTGAAGTCACAAAGATTATGCACATGCACACACCTGCAAAGAATGCTCTGTTTGCTCCGGCACCTGGAGAAACATTTTAAATCTTTTATGCAATAAGAAGCTTTAATTCATGGCTTGACCTTCAAAGTTACTTGTGTTAAATTAAAACAGAAAATCCTGAAGCATTATAAACAATACTTGCCTTTTTTGCAGACTCAGAAAAGAGAACTCCATTGTTTCCAATGATTCCTACTGGGTATCCAAAAATTCGAGCAAATCCTCAAAACAAAATTCAAAAGTTTTATTTTTTCAGAGGGTTTTTAATTCACAACAAAAATGACATATTTGCACATTCTTTAATTTCAGATCCAATTTATTCTATTTTTCAGATAACATATTTTGAATTTATATTATAGCCAAAGACCTAATGCTTCACTAAATAAAGAGTTCAACAAGAAAAAAGTAGGAAGATGCCTAGTTCAGCAGGAATATAGGCAATGGCTATAAACAGTAACCAATGAAAAGGTGTCATTTTCACTCTTGTCCAGTGAAAATCAGATGACACTCTAATAGATAAGGTACAAAACAACTCACGTCACAATTCCTCACTCCTGTAGTACTGGATTCTGGGTTTGGAGGGCAGCATCTTGTAACAGTCATGGTGCATGTATACTGTCCCATCTGATTGACTGTCACCCACTAACTCATTTAACACACATCTGGGAGCCCACACTCACTCATTCACTTAACACACATCTGGGTGCCCACTGTGTACCACTGAGAGATCTGAGCCTGGATCAAGGTGCAGCTATTTTAAAATAGGCCTCCATCTTGTAACTCGGGCCTGACCAGGCCCTGAACCCTGAGCCAGAAGCCCCTAAAAATAAATAAATGAGCTCCCCTTGCAATAAACTCTCCTAGCAACAGCCAATCAGCAGATAGCAGGGAAATACCTAAAGTTCCAGGTGCCTTTTCAGGCAGTTTAGGTGACTGATAACATCCCGAGACCCTGCAGTTTGGCACATACATCCTAGCGGCTTGGACCCTATACTTCAGCCAATCAATCTAAAAGGCATCAACCCCAAAGCCATCCAACCACCTTTACTAGGTCCATTTCTGCCACTGGATGCACTAATCAATTCCAAGAGATGTTCTTTGAATTTCCCGTAGAATGAGATGATTTGCTAAATGGTACCATAATGTATAGAACGTCTCTGAAAACCCTATAAAAACCCTGTAAACTGAAGAGTCGGGGCTCTCAATTCAAATCTGCTGTGTTGGTGGTGGTTGAGAGTCCAGACCCGGGCCTGCAATAAAACTCTCATGTGTTTTACAGTGTATCGGCTCCTTGATGGTCTTTGGGGACAATCGAACTGGGCCTAACACCACCCACTAGGGATCTTCTGAAATGTAACAAATTAAAGCCATTTAAATTGTAGACCAACGTCCAGAGCTATCAGCCAGCTTAACCGAAAATTCTGTGATATGACAGACCCTTAAAAAGGCTGAATTAGCAAAAGCAATTAAAAAACAAATTCAGGCCGGCGCCGTGGCTCACTTGGCTAATCCTCCACCTGCGGTGCTGGCACCCGGGTTCTAGTCCCGGTTGGGGCGCTGGTTCTGTCCCAGTTGCTTCTCTTCCAGTCCAGCTCTCTTCTGTGGCCGGGGAAGACAGTGGAGGATGGCCCAAGTGCTTGGGCCCTGCACCCCATGGGAGACCAGGAGGAAGCACCTGGCTCCTAGCGGAGACCACAGATAAAGTAAGAAATCCAGGTCAGCCAAGAAGAATGAATCACTCTACTTTCACACTTCTTTGTTTCTCCTTTCCAAAAGTGTCATTTGTATCTGACCATGGCTTCCACTACCACTCCAAACACCTGCCCCGCACACACACACCTGGGAGAAAAGAGGCAGGGCAGGGAACTGCTGTCTTGTGAGGCAGGTACCATAGGTGACTTCGGAGCCTGATGCTCTGCAACCTAAAGAACGTGACCAGCCAGAGAGACTTTCAACAAGCCCACCTCCAACTAGAAATGGGGGCAGTGCTTAGAGCCCAAGAACCAGCACATCAGGCTTGGGTAAGTGGGTCAAAGAGAGCATGCTACACAAGTCCCTGCAACTGGATTCTGTCTCCAACAGACAGACCTGGTGCCTGCCAGATACTCAGAAACATCACTGAGGCCAAGTTAAGAGGTAAGAAAACACCAACGTACTGACAAGCCAGGGCACTGACTTTGTCTTTATTTTTTTGAATTTATTTTATTTGAAAGGAAAACACACACACACACACACACACACACACACGGGGGTGGGGTGGAGAAAGGGAAAGAGAGAGATCTCGTCTGATTGACTCCCCAGATGCCCCACCAACAGCCAGGGCTTGACCAGGCTGAAGGAGCCAGGAACTCTATCCAGGTCTCCCATATGGGCAGCAGGAACCCAAGTACTGAACCGTCACCTGCTGTCTCCCAAGGTGTGCATGAGCAGAAAGCTGGAACAGAGTGCAGACCTGCAACTGGAACCCAAGGCCTTGCTAGCAATGCCTAAGCCACTGTGCCAAACGCCTGTCCCCCAGAACATGGACCTTTTAAAGACTTATTTTTGATCTTTACTCTGCCTTTGTCTTGATTTATTACTGTAAGAAATCATCATATTCAGTGGGAAAAAGCAAAACACTGATGTGATGGCCACCTAGCTTTCTCCTTCTCTTTCACGTCTAAAATTCCAGCCAAAAGCTAACTGGCACTGGCACTTGCACAGCAATTCAGAGAGGGGTAAGCTTCCAGAAAGGCCTAGCACTCCACTCTTCAGTGCTGCTGCACTCCACCAAGAGATGGGAATCTAGCACACGACTCCCCAGTAAGACGCCGGCGTGCAGACACACCACCTCCAGCAGACCTAAGTCAACGGTCGAGACCCTCAGCCCATGCCGGGCCTGCTTGAGCATCTCCAGGCACAGCAGGGCTTGCCGAGTGGGACACCAAGGAGGGTGGGCCTTTACCTACTGCCTGATCCAAACGAGTTCCAAACAGGGAAGCAAAATGGCCAAGAAATACTAGGGCCTTCCTACGGCAAGTGCTGAGGCAGGGTGGAAACCACGTGGGCCCCAGAAAAATCTGCTCTCCCCTCACCCCCTCACCTGTGTGCTTCCCACCCTCTGCTCCGCCCCATCCTTATTCTCAAGCCCCCATCCTCCTGTTATCCCCAGTCACCTTCTCATTCCCCTTTTCACTCCCCTCTCCTTCTCCCAACCTTATTCGCATTCTAGTACAGCCAAGAGATGGAGGACACTGGCTGTGTCGCTGGTATTCTAGGGGGCAAGGGTACCACAAGTCTTTTAGCAAACACAGGGCAAAGATGCAAAGCGGATGACAAGGACAGCCCATCCATCTTTAGAGAAAGCAGAAAAAGCATCGCCCTGTGTGAGACTGCCACACAGTGAGGGTTACATCCTGGACTATCTGGGAACAAATCCTGTCTATATATCAAGCAAAAAGCTCTTAATCACTTAAACACCTAAATACAAAAACATAAATTCCACTCCCAGTATGAACCCTTCTCCTGCTCACAAATCTAACTAAAAGGAACTGTGACTTATCCTTAAGCCTCAACCTACATTTGAAATTGGGATTTTTGCAGCTACCTTTTTCCCCTGCTCTGATGTGTTATCTTCATTATATTATAACCATTATATTGTCAAGCTTTTCAGAACCTAGGAAAACCACGAAATTTGCCCTGCTGTTTGTCCAAGATAGATTAGTACAGGTCTAGCCTCTGCTTCCAATCTTTTTCTCCAAAGGCTTATAGACTGAACACTTGAGATGACAGAATTACAAGCATCATTTTGTTTTTTCCAGGCCTGGTACACTGTCCTATATTCTCAATCCAGTTCTTGCACACAGCAGCTTAAGGCAGAGGCAGTGTGCAGGCACTCTCTGTAGACAGGGGCAGCGAGAAGGTTTAACTTACTCTTCATGCTTCCAGGAAACTAAGCAACACATATAGTCTCCTAGTTACATCAGAGACTAAGTGAAGAAGGCAATGCTGAGATTTTCAAAATAATTACAGCTATCTAGAGAAAAAGAACACAAATGTGTTCTGCTCATTTTATTATATGAACCTCTTTATTCAGACAATGCCCCAGAGCCACAGATGAAGGCGTACACACTGCATCTGTCTCCCCCCAACATTAAATTCTGAATCCACAAAGCCACTCAGCTACAAGTGATCTTCACGAAAGAAGATACTTGGAAACCTGACGCATAAATCTGCACTGCTGCTGGTGCCGCCGTAGCTCACTAGGCTAATCCTCCGCCTGCAGTGCCAGCACACCGGGTTCTAGTACCGGTCGGGCGCCAGATTCTGTCCCAGTTGCCCCTCTTCCAGGCCAGCTCTCTGCTGTGGCCAGGGTGGCCCAAGTTCTTGGGCCCTGCACCCACACAGGAGACCAGGAGAAGCACCTGGCTCCTGGTTTCGGATCAGCGCAGTGCGCCGGCTGTAGTGCGCTGGCCGCAGCAGCCATTGTGGGGTGAACCAATGGAAAAGGAAGACCTTTCTCTCTGTCTGTCTCTCTCACTGTCCACTCTGCCTGTCAAAAAAAAAATAATTAATAAATAGATAAATAAATAAAATTTGCACTGCCCTCAATCACACAGCCCCTGCCAAGTGTACCAAAGCCATGAGACAAGAGACCATTTATTTTCAAAGCAGCAGAAAATGTTCCTATTTTCAATTCTGCATTTTTATACCTGTAACTAATGTGTCTCCATACAAGGCTTTGAACTCGTTGAATCTGCTTCCATCCACAATTCTAGCAATGACCTAAGAGGAAAAATAACAATGACTCTGAGAAATTATATTACTATCAGATTCTTTGCATTAAAGCTTTATCTATAAGGAAAAAAAATTCATACAGAAGTTGTCACTTTCACAAAGTTTACCCAGAAAATCTCACTAGACTCTCTCCTGATGTGTGTGGCTAATGCCCCACAGTCACTCTGGGCTGTGATTTTACACTTGACTATAGAAGCAGTAGCATCACGTTGCACATAAGAGCAGAGAGCACATGTCAGTGCAGGTACTGACATGCCACAGGACAAGTCACCAGCACCCTGGGCTGGCTGCTAACTCAGAGTTGCAGGGACGGCTGGAGCATCTTGGTGGAGGCCCAGGGATCCATCGGAAAGCAGGGCCAGCCAGGGCTTGCAGTCAGAAGCGATCCTAAGATACCACATAGGATGCGTGTGTCCCACAGCAAGCCATTTAGCCCCTATGAGCCTCAGTCTCACTTCAGGAAAGAAGGAAATCGGCTGTGAGGAGAGGATGAACCCCACAGTAAAAAGAATCTAAGAAAACAACGCCAAGACGGAGAACCAGCCAACTCCCAGCTCTACCACTGAGACAAGAGTTCCTGGGGTGATGACTTAACATCTTCCTGGCCTCAGTTTCCTCATCTGTTAAAAAACAGAAGTGCTAAAAAACAACAACAACAAACCCACTAAGGCATACTGCCTGGCTCTCACTAAAAAGCAGTCGTTGTTATTATGAAGCTCTCAGAAAGGCTCACTGATTCTGAATCTGACGTATTAAAGATCATCCACATGCTGAATTCTACCAGACATTTAAAGAAGAACTAACTCCAATTCTTCTCAAACTATTCAGAACAATTGAAAAAGAAGGAATCCTCCCAAATTGTTTCTATGAAGCCAGCATCACCTCAATTCCTAAGCCGGAAAAAGATGCAGCACTGAAAGAGAATTACAGACCAATATCACTGATGAACATAGATGCGAAAATCCTCAATAAAATTCTGGCCAATAGAATGCAACAACACATCAGAAAGATCATCCACCCAGACCAAGTGGGATTTATCCCTGGTATGCAGGGATGGTTTAATGTGCGCAAGACAATCAATGTGATACACCACATTAACAGACTGCAGAAGAAAAACCATATGATTATCTCAATAGACGCCGAGAAAGCATTTGATAAAATACAACAACCAGTCATGATGAAAACTCTAAGCAAACTAGGTATGGAAGGAACATTCCTCAATACAATCAAAGCAATCTATGAAAAACCCACAGCCAACATTCTATTGAATGGGGAAAAGTTGGAAGCATTTCCACTGAGATCTGGTACCAGACAGGGATGCCCACTCTCACCACTGCTATTCAATATAGTTCTGGAAGTTCTAGCCAGAGCTATTAGGCAAGAAAAAGAAATTAAAGGGATACAAATTGGGAAGGAAGAACTCAAACTATCCCTCTTTGCAGATGATATGATTCTTTACTTAGGGGACCCAAAGAACTCTACTAAGAGACTATTGGAACTCATAGAAGATTTTGGCAAAGTAGCAGGGTATAAAATCAATGCACAAAAATCAACAGCCTTTGTATACACAGGCAATGCCATGGCTGAGAAAGAACTTCTAAGATCAATCCCATTCACAATAGCTACAAAAACAATCAAATACCTTGGAATAAACTTAACCAAGGATGTTCAAGATCTCTACGATGAAAATTGCAAAACCTTAAAGAAAGAAATAGAAGAGGATACCAAGAAATGGAAAAATCTTCCATGTTCATGGATTGGAAGAATCAATATCATCAAAATGTCCATTCTCCCAAAAGCAATTTATAGATTCAATGCAATACCAATCAAGATACCGAAGACCTTCTTCTCAGATCTGGAAAAAATGATACTGAAATTTATATGGAGACACAGGAGACCTCGAATAGCTAAAGCAATCTTGTACAACAAAAACAAAGCCAGAGGCATCACAATACCAGATTTCAGGACATACTACAGGGCAGCTGTAATCAAAACAGCATGGTACTGGTACAGAAACAGATGGATAGACCAATGGAACAGAATTGAAACACCAGAAATCAATCCAAACATCTACAGCCAACTCATATTTGATCAAGGATCCAAAACCAATCCCTGGAGTAAGGACAGTCTATTCAATAAATGGTGCTGGGAAAATTGGATTTCCACGTGCAGAATCATGAAGCAAGACCCCTACCTTTCACCTTACACAAAAATTCACTCAACATGGATTAAAGACTTAAATCTATGACCTGACACCATCAAATTATTAGAGAGGATTGGAAAAACCCTGCAAGATATAGGTACCGGCAATGACTTCTTGGAAAACACCCCAGAAGCACAGTCATCAAAGCCAAAGTTAACATTTGGGATTGCATCAAATTGAGAAGTTTCTGTACTGCAAAAGAAACAGTCAGGAAAGTGAAGAGGCAACCGACAGAATGGGAAAATATATTTGCAAACTATGCAACTGATAAAGGGTTGATAACCAGAATCTACAAAGAAATCAAGAAACTCCACAAGATCAAAACAAACAACCCACTTAAGAGATGGGCCAAGGACCTCAATAGACATTTTACAAAAGAGGAAATCCAAATGGCCAACAGACACATGAAAAAATGTTCAAGATCACCAGCCATCAGGGAAATGCAAATCAAAACCACAATGAGGTTTCACCTCACCCCAGTTAGAATGGCTCACATTCAGAAATCTACCAACAATAGATGCTGGAGAGGATGTGGGGAAAAAGGGACACTAACCCACTGTTGGTGGGAATGCAAACTGGTTAAGCCACTATGGAAGTCAGTCTGGAGATTCCTCAGAAACCTGAATATAACCCTACCATTCAACCCAACCATCCCACTCCTTGGAATTTACCCAAAGGAAATGAAATTGGCAAACAAACAAGCAGTCTGCACATTAATGTTTATTGCAGCTCAATTCACAATAGCTAAGACCTGGAACCAACCCAAATGCCCATCAACAGTAGACTGGATAAAGAAATTATGGGACATGTACTCTATAGAATACTATACAGCAGTCAAAAACAACAAAACCCGGTCATTTGCAACAAGATGGAGGAATTTGGAAAACATCATGCTGAGTGAATTAAGCCAGTCCCAAAGGGACAAATACCAGATGTTCTCCCTGATCGATGACAACTAACTGAGCACCAAAGGGGAAACTTGTTGAAATGAAATGGACACTATGAGAAACAGTGACTTGATCAGCTCTTGTCCTGATGGTTGATGTACAATGTAATACTTTATCCATTTTAGTATTTTTTTTTTGTTCTGGTACTGTTGGTTGAACTCTGTAATTAATACACAATTATTCTTAGGTGTTTAAATTTTAACTGAAAAGTGATCCTTGTTAGGAATTTGGAAAACATTATGCTGAGTGAAATAAGCCAATCCCAAAGGGACAAATACCACTTATTCTCCTTGATAGGTGACAACTAACTGAGTACTAAAAAGGAAACCTGTTAAAGTGAAATGAACACTATGAGAAACGGTGACTTGATCAGCCCTCACCCTGACTGTTGATAAGCAGCTTTATATGTTATCCCTCTTAGTATTTTTTTTGTTTGTTCTACTTAATACTTTTGGTTGAATACTGTAATCAATACACAATTCTTCTTAAGTGCTGAAACTTAACTGAAAAGTGATCACTGTTAAATATAAGAGTGGGAATAGAGAGGGAAGAGATGTGCAATTCGGGACATGCTCAAGCTGACTTACCTCAAACGGTAGAGTTAGAAACATACCAGGGGATTCCAATTCAATCCCATCAAGGTGGCATGTACCGATGCCATCTCACTAGTCCCAGTGATCAATTTCTGTTCACAATTGATCATAATGATAGGACTAAGAACCAAAGGGATCACATAAACAAGAATAGTGTCTGCAAATACTAGCTGATAGAATAAAAAAGGGAGAGAATGATCCAACATGGGAAGTGAGATACACAGCAGACCCATAGAATGGCAGATGTCCTAAAGAGCACTCTGGCCTCAGAATCAGCCTTAAGGCATTCGGATCTGGCTGAAAAGCCCATGAGAGTATTTCAGGCATGGAAAGCCAAGACACTCTGGGAAAAAAAAAAAAAAAAAAAAAACCTAAATGAAAGATCTCCCGAGTAAGATCCCCAGTGGAAAGAACGGGTCATCAAAGAAGGAGGTACCTTTCTCTGAAGGGAGGAAAGAACTTCCACTTTGACCATGGCCTTGTCTAAAAATTATCAGAGTCAGTGAACTCAAGGGGCTTCCATAGCCTTGGCAGCTCATGACAAGAGCCTAGGGTGATTACTGATGCCATAAACAAGAGTGTCAATTTGTTAAGTCAACAACAGGAGTCACTGTGCACTTACTCCTCATGTAGGATCTTTGTCCTTAGTGTGCTGTACATTGAGATTTAATGCTATAACTAGTACTCAAACAGTATTTTTCACTTTATGTTTCTGTGTGGGAGCAAACTGTTGAAATCTTTACTTAATGTATGCTAAACTGATCTTCTGTATATAAAGAGAAACGAAAATGAATCTTGATGTGAATGGAAGGGGAGAGGGAGTGGGAAAGGGAAGGGTTGCGGGTGGGAGGGACGTTATGGGGGGGAAGCCATTGTAATCCATATTCTGTACTTTGGCAATTTATATTCATTAAATAAAAGTTTAAAAAAAAAAAAAAGATCATCCACATGCGTACTGTTTGAAAGGAGTAGAAATAACTCAATTTATCCCTGGGACTAAGCATGAGACACCAGGACCATTTTCAAAGAGTCTGAGACATGGAGCCCTTTCCATACTTCTTCAGAAACTATCTGAGGTGAAACATATTCTTTTTCTACAAAGTTCCCACTTCCCTTTTCCTGTTTACCATGTCACTCACAGCCTTGTTTTGTAAGATGCAACAGCTGCAGAATGAGTGAATGCTCCCTAGTGTCTTCCTTCCCATAAAATAAAAAACCTGCTTTGAATTGTTTTTCAGTTATCTCTGGCCCAGTAATATAATGAGAGTATAATAGGTATCTGTTTCCCAAGCTCAGTACCTCCAAAATTAACCTTTTAAGTTGACACATGACAACTATCATTCTTCCACAGGAAGATAAAGATACTCAATGGGCACAGCAATCTAGGGCCATTTAGTGCAAAACCACCTTGCTTTTGGTTTGCAGTGACCCCAACACCACCCAGCCACACAAAATATCTTAATTTACCTTCCCAGAAACACAAACTTCAGGAAGCAGACAGATCGCATGGTTCTATTCCTATTCCTGGAGGCAGAAGTGGGTGCTCAAAGAGGTTAAATCTCAGCACTACCGACTGGGGAAACAAGGACCAGAACCCAGAGCGTCCAGCTCAGACACCAGTGCCGTCCCACGGCTCTACACACCAGCAAGACCTCCACCCGAGGCTTATTTGCTACCACAGGAAAATATAATGAACTGAAATCACAGCGATGAGCAAACATCAGCAAAAGGTGGAAGTCCAGGTTACTCTTCAAGAAGGCAACAGTCCATCTTTTTAAAAAAATTTCATTTAAAATGAAACAGAAACAACGTGAATGCGTGGATTTGGCTCTGTTCACTTCACCAGACAACACCTACATAGAACATGTACTAGGTAAACGCCACCGAATAAATGAAAATGTGGTTATGCTAAAAGAATGAATCCTCAGCCATCTAAAATTCTTGGCTGTTTGCAAAAATCATCTTTCAAGCACCTAAGATTGTAAGTACCATTTCTTTTTCTATGCCACCAAATAAATGAAAGTCAAACTAAGAACCTAATTCTAAAACTTACAGTTAAACTAAGCCACCCAGCTAAGGTGAAACATCAGCTGATGTCCTATAAAATTTGGGCTTTAAGGCCCTCTAACAGTAACAGAGTATTGTCTAAATAAATAACTGCACACATCTATACATTGAAATATTACATTCATCAGTTCATTCAAAAAGATACTGACCAAGAGCTTCAGGCACTACTGTAGGAGTTAGGACCCAACCACAGAAAATGTTTCATATATCCTATCTCAACTGCATAAAAATATACACACACACACACACACACACACATACACACACATTATGCCAAAACATCAAAACATCAGCTGCTTTCATTAGGTAGCAAAATGACAAGCAAATGTATTTTTTCTTTTTTGTATTTTTTTTACATTTTTCACAACTAGTAAAATTATAAAGCTTCTAACACAAATCTGCAATGAAGATAATTTCCTAATTTAGAAATAAAACACTACATGCATCGTGCAAACACTGAAAATTGTCAATCTAGATTACAGAAGACTACCTCAGCAATCGGTAACCATAGCAACATCTTCAACTATAATCAAGTCTACCCTTCACTAATGTCACACTGATCTAAAAGGGTATTTTTCCCCCAACAACTTCCTGACATTTCATCCACTTCCCGAAATAAGAACACTGAAGAGAAACAGTTGAATATCGTGAAGTTGCGCTACATCCTTACTCATGTCCACAGGAATATGGAATCCTATTTATCAACAATCCAAGCTTTGTGGCTGTACAACAAAAACTTTCCAATCCTAGAGTGTTTTCCCCTCTTTTAGTAATTACTGTCCTTACAATACCTATGCTATGGAGAAGTGTCTTTCCCATACACCTCGATACTCTGAGATCTAGATGAGTATACCACAACAAACTCTAGCTTGAAAACGGGCACACACAGGCTGACAGCACGGCTTACAGCTCACGGGTGCACTTTTACAAACCTCTCGGACATCAAAGTTCCTCTTGAGGTTGGCACCAACTATTCCATATAGTTCATCGGCAGGAAACAGAGGCTCTTCAGAAGGCTCGACGGTCACCTGTGGGCATCCAGAACAATCGATTTAACCTCTCTAAAGGCATGATTTCAGAGTGACATCGTCAAAATGCTTCCCAGGAAAATAAGAGGCAGAAGCACATCTCCTACTCACTTCTAATTTCTTCTGGTAATTGAGGTTCCTCACAACCTTCCTGGTTAAGTGGAGGGCATGCTGGTCATCCCAGGCATAGTGGTCAGTGACTCCAGACATTCTACAGGGTAAAGCACACTGATATAATCAGAGTGGGGCAAGAGTCACAGATCTTAGACCCCCAATATGTTCTCCCATCTGAGGATCACAGCTTGTTTACGTCCAAAACACCTTCATGAATGCCATCTTATCTGACACCCATCCCATCTGTGAGAAAACAGTGCTGTCTTGTTTCACAAACAGGAGAAACTGAGGTACACCTAAGAGCCCCTGGCAGCTGCATAAGAACCACATCTTCCAGTTTCCAACCGTGGCCTTGCTGCCAAGAGCATCTAATAAGCGCTCACCCCATGCACCTGGAACAGAACTAAATGTGAGGATGCCCCACAGGCAGTGCCTTTTCATGAGGTACTGATGCCAGCACCAGGTGTCCGCACCCGCCTGGCGTGCAGGGATACCACCAACTGTGGGCTCTATTTCTAAAGAGACTGCTGACTCCCTCTTTACAAAGTCACACCACTGCAAGTCATAAGGAACAAGGATCCAGTGTCCCTCAGATCACGTGTAAAACTGGAAACTAATAAAATGGTTCTATGATAAGGGCCATGGAAGTTCCCCTTGAATTTCAAGTGCAGTGACTGAAACATGGGCTTGCTCTGGTCACCAGTTCTGTTCCAATTAGATGACTTGCTATTTCACATGTCCTGTGACTCCCTAAAAAAGTATTTTTAAAACTCTGAAAGGTCAGGCAAAAATATAAACCTGAAATAAGCAGAATTTTAGATCATTTTATGAGTAAGCACTAAATTGCTGAAATCTAATATAGGGAACAATCCAATCCCCTGGGAAACATTTCTTAGAGCCACTTCTCCAGTGCTTGCTTGCCACTCCCCTCTGCAGTGGGTGTCCCTCAACAAGGGCAGGGGCCACGCTTCCTCCCCTCCATATCCTCCAATGCCTCGCAAATGGTAGACCCTTCAGTTTCTTTCAGGCATTTCCCAATCGGCCACACCCTTTATTCCTTCACACCAAATACGAGGCACATCACTGACTTCAGCCTACACTGTGATGCAATAAGAAACAGAAGCATAAAGAAGCTGCTTCTAAAACAGTCAGGACAGAAAATGCTTTCTTGGGGCCAGCGCTGTGGCACAGTGGGTGAAGCCGCCTGCAGCGCCAGCATCCCATGTGGTCACCGGTTCGAGACCTGGCTGCTCCACTTCTGATCCAGCATACTGCTGTGGCCAGGGAAAGTAGTAGAAGATGGCCCAAGTCCTGTACCCACACGAGAAACTTGGAAGAAACTTGGAAGAAACTCCTGGCTCCAGACTTTGGATCAGCAGAGCTCCAGCTGTTGCAGCCAAATGGGGAGTGAACCAGCGGATGGAAGACCTCTCTCTCTGCCTCTCCTTCTCTCTGTGTGTAACCGTGATTTTCAAGTAAAATAAATCTTAAAAAGAAAGAAAGAGAGAGAGAGAGAGAGAGAGAGAGAGGAAAGAAAAGAAAAGAAAAGAAAAGAAAAGAAAAGAAAAGAAAAGAAAAGAAAAGAAAATGCTTTCTTGTAAAGCTGTTTACTATTACCAAAACCGCAGAAAAGGAAACCTTTGACGAGACACTGTAGATGTAAGTCTGTGTCACAGGAGCCCTGAACCATGACCCATCAGACAGGTATAAACATGAATTCATAATAACAAACAGAAAGCAGAGCAATTCATGACAACTAAATTTTACAACACTGTTAAAAAAAAAAAAGAGCCGTCACAACGTCATCACGTCCCCACGGTTTTAAGCAGGTAGCCATGCACAGAGAGCATGGCACACGTGGGACAGTGTGCTAGGAGGCCAATGCGCTCCACATCTTCATTTTACATGAGGAACCGGGACCCAGGGAGGAGAAGCAGTCTGTGCAAGTCACAAGGATAACAGAGAGGCTAACAGAAGATGAATTCCAGAATCTACATCTCTAACGTGATCCACTGCCTACAGGCGGTCAACATTTCATAAAAATTAATGCCCTTCTGGAAGTGGGGGTGGGAGAGGGTGGGTATGGGGGGAAGAATCACCGTATTCCCAAAGGTGTACTTATGAAATTTGTACTCATTAAATAAAAGGCTTCTTTGGAAAAAAAAAATAATGCCTTCCAATACTACCTTCAACCCCTTCCCTTGAGCAGGTACCCACAAACAACAGAAGTCTGCTCTGCGCCATCCACCTAACACCTTTCTACCTGCAGCCTCCTTTTCTCTGGGTTGGAACGTCCACCCAGCCAGCAATCACTTTCCTGTCCACCTGTGACAGTTGGTCAATGGCCCAACAGACAGTAACGCCACGCCTGTGTTCACTGAAATTCCAGCATTCTGTTCAAACGCAGGCAGAATTCAACCTCCGCTAAGCTCTGCTCCAAACTCCTCATCAGCACCTTGATCATTCCACCTTTAGTTAAAATTGGAAGAGTGCATCTTACCATTTTTTTTTTAGTTCATTCATTTCTTTCTCTTATCTGCTTAATTATAAAATGTGAGGGCAGAAGCTAGGCCTGAAATGTTTCTCTATGACTCATAATACTTAGTACAATCAATCTATCCATAAGAAGCGTTCAGTGTGAAAGGAATGACTGAGATCCTGTGGCAAAGGTCCTGTAAACACCATCAAATGGCACACCAGTTTTTTGATAGGACCTCCTGGACTCTTCTCATAACCACTGCCTCCTGAGTTTGCCATGGGGCAGAGCAAGGTGAGGTTTATTACACCTGCACGGCCTCTGAACCCAATGACAGGACGGACTTGCCATTTGTGTCTGGGTTCCTAGGGCACGGTCCTGAGCCCTTCTCTATTTGCATTCACACTACGGTGAGCTCACCTTGTCTCATGGTTTTAAACTCCATTTCTGTAGATGACTCCCAAGTAACAACCTCTAACCCTGATGTGGACTCCCGACTCTGACAGCCACTGCCTGCTCAGCAGTCTCTACCAGGACATCTCACGGGCATCTCTAACTTACCAGTTCCCGAAGCAAAGCCTGACCATCTGCCTCAGCTCCAGATCTGCTCCTCCTCCCGCTGTGCTAACTGCAGGAAACGAACGCACTTCACATCATCCTCTCAGCCACTGACTTTGGCTGTAGCCCTTATATGAAACCCATCAACAAGTCTCTCAGTTCTACCTCTAAAACAAAACACTGCCTGTACTGCCTGGTACATAATAGTTGCCACACGGTGTTTAAAAATAAATAAGAAATCTGTCTCTCCAGCCCCTGGCTATGATGAAAAAGCTGAGGCTCTAGCTTGGAAGTGCAGCTCTACAGTTCAAAGACTGAACCTGAACAGCAGACTGAGGACAGATAAGCTGTGGTCTGGTCTGGCACGTTCAGTATGGGGCGGGGGTGGGGTGGGGTGGGTGTAAAACTGCTTTTAAACAAACAAAGCAACAGTCGGTCCTGAAAAGAAACACCTAGCTCCCACTGCACCTGCAATGAAGATCAGCTCCTCCAAGATCCTCTGCAGACACCTCTTCTCCAGTTGCCGCTTTAACCTGCAACACACACACAGAACCAGTGTTGAGACGGGTCCATCAGAGAATGAAAGAGTTGTCCTAATCAGCTCACCTCCCAGACCACACCTACACCCTCTCACCTACAGAGCTCAAGAGTTTTCTCATTCCACTCCCCAACAAGCCTAGGGAAAACTCTCCCTAGCCGGTGGATGGGAAATCAGAGCTCAAGGTCACTAAGAGCTGGCCCACAGCCCCTGAGCAAGCAACGGAGCGCGACTGCAGCCCAGCAGGTTCTGAGCTGAAAGTCCACGCCCCTTCCCTACGTTATGGTCAAGCCTCTGTGTCTGTGGGTGTGTGTACCTCCCACCACCCAGGTCGCCTCGCCTTCTCCCTACCTGGTGAATGCTGTCCACTGAGCCTTCAAGTGCCACCTGGAGTCACCTGCAGCTTTCCCCAACCCACCCAGACCTCCTCCTGCTTAGACAAGAGTAACAGAGTAGCTTTGCCACGCACAGTCTAAGAGTCACGGCCCTTGCCAGACTGAACCTCAGCGATCTGCACATCTCTGCTGTCTATACTGTGAGTTGAGCAACAACAGGAACTGTGCCTTACTCATCTTTGAATACTCAATAACAATGCAGAAATATTTCAGTCACTATCAGAAAGTATTATCCAGTAATAACTTCAAGATGAGAAAAAAATCTCCAAGGCTTACCTAAATCTAAGATCTAGCAGACTATAACCAAAAAGAAAGAAACCTCTAGTAATAAATTATGAGTGATTTAATTATAGCCAGAGGAAATCGAATAGGAAAAAGAAAGAAAAATCACTGAATGCCAAATGTCAATCATCATCCCTTAGGAACTGCTCATTGATTACTAGTTCTTCAGTTGATTAATTTGCTTCTTTTTCTTCACATAGGAAAATTATTTATTAAAAATAATCAATATTAACCTGAAATACAGCATAGGAATGATTTCTTATTCATGAAATCAAAAACTTTGTCTTACCTAACTAAAATGTTTTTCCCCAGGGGAAGGCAAACAGAATTTTCACCTCCAATTATTCCACTCTCATAACTAAACTCCTGGTTCTCTTCTTTCCAAAAAAAATCTGTGGGGTCTGGCTCTGTGGCATAGTAGTCTTAAGCCACCTCCTGCAGTGCCGACATCCCACATGGGCGCCAGTTCGAGTCCTGGCTGCTCCACTTAAAATCCAGCTCTCTGCTATGGCCTGGGAAAGCAGTGGAAGATGGCCCAAGTCCTTGGGCCCCTGCACCCATGTGGGAGACCCAGAAGAAGCTCCTGGTTCCTGGCTTCGGATCGGCCCGGCTCCAGCTATTGCACCATTACAGCCATTTGGGGAGTGAACCAGTGAATAGAAGACCCCTCTCCCTCCCTCTCCCTCTCTCTCCCTCTCTCTCCGCCTCTGTAACTCTGCCTTTCAAATAAATAAATAAAATCGTTTTTTAAAAAAATCTGTGTAAAATATCTCTCAGTCCAGACAATAATTAGAAGTGTCTGGATATTTAAAGTCGTAAGGAGGAATGAACCACAGATACGCTATATTTACACTCAGAGAGCTAACATCAACTGAGAACAATAATGATTGTCATCAGTTATTGTTTACCAACACCCACAACATGTTTGATACTGTGATAGGTACAAAGATGACAGAAAATTAAAACAGTTCATTCCACCAAGTAAGAAGCTCAGAAGATAAACAGTACAAAAAGCTTCTTTAAAAACCTAACTTATTACTCTCTTTCTTTTGCAACCACCCTAAGCTACTGCAGGCAACAGCCATAGAAGCTCACACCACACATGAATCTATAGCCTTCCCTCAGCCCTCAGACAAGCAGACGGCAGAATTTCGAATTCTCACGTGGATGAGGCTGCAGCTCCGTACCCGCCACCCATGGTCTTGCAAAGGCAATGGCAGGCACTGAACCAGCGCCTGCTCTCACGGAACTGCAGGCTTGCCTGGCTGGCCACTGAGCTGTGTCTCTCTAATACGAATCTGAATGCACTGAACAGACAATGCAACTGCTGGCCCTAAGACACAACCTTCTCTCTAAAACACAGAGCAGGGACTGGCACTGTGGCATAGTGGGTAAAGCCGCTGTCTGCAGTGCTGGCATCCCATATGGGCGCCAGTTCAAAACCTGGATGCTTTACTACTGATCCAGCTCTCTGCTATGGCCTGAAAAAGCAGAAGATGGCCCAAGTCCTTGGGCCCCTGTACCCACATGGGAGACCCGGAAGAAGCTCCTGGTTCCTGGCTTCGGATCAGTGCAGCTCTAGCTGTTGTAGCCACTCAGGGAGTGAACCAGCGGATGGAAGACCTCTCTCTCTGTCTGCCTTTCCTTCTCCCTCTGTGCAACTCTTTCAAATAAATAAATAAATCTTAAAAAAAAAAAAAAAAAAACAGAGCACTATTCCAATATGAGGATGCTGCCTATACTCCCAATAGATGTTTTCAATTTTTAGTCATTCCTTTACTCATTTTCTAATAAGAAATAAGCATAAACTACTCATGGAGTGTTTGCACCCTCTACTCTGCATTACGCTGAGTGAAACAGGCCGGTCATAGAAGTCAGATACAGCATGACTGCACGTGCATGGGATGCACCCAGAGTACTCCAGTCCACAGAGACAGAACATAGCGTGCTAGTTACCAGCGCAGTGGAAGTGGTGGGTGTCTAATGGGCTTCAGTTTGGGAAGACAAAAAGATTCTAAGATGGAAGGTGGCAGTGGTGGCACAAATGTCACTCCCCCACTCGCGGAGGAACTACACCGGACACTGTTTTCTTTCCCCGATGCTTCCCGGATCTGCTGCCGCTCCCCCGCCTCCGCGGAGGAGCGGCACCAACGAGCTCTCCAACCGACTCTTTCAGGGGGGCCCGCATGTTGTCTCTCTCCTCCTTTTATAGTCCTCTCCCAATAATCCGTGCTCCGCTGCCCGCATGCTGAGCACGCCGCTTTCCTCCAAACAGGGGTTGGGTCAGGAATCAGCTAATTAACGAAGCAGCTGTGTAAGATTTGTTTACTCTCTCTCAGCACCATATGGTGGGAGATCAGACGCATAGAGTTAGTTTCAGTCCACAGTCTCAGTACTTATTTGTCCCCCCGGGCGCCCCGCCATGTTGCGGGAGACGGACCCTGCTCCCCACACACAAACATATGCATCTACCTAATGCCACAGAACTGTATGCTTAAAAATGGTACAAGTGATATACTTTAGGTTATAAACATAAATGTTATATTTTATCACATTTTAAAAATCATCAATAATCAGTGCAAATGATTTTCTCTATGGATCTGAACTTCAGTCAGTCACGATTATGTCCTTACCAAGGGAGGTCCAGCCAAGAAGATGGTGCCCTGCTTGCGGACGATGATGTTTTCATCAGCCATTGCAGGCACGTAGGCGCCTCCCGCCGTACAGGAGCCCATGACCACTGCTATCTGGAATTCAAGCACACCACAAGCCCCTAAGATGCAGCTCAGACAGAGAAGTGTACCATGTTTGATCTGTAGCCCCAGTGACCAGGGGATGGCACTAGCTGGTCCCTAGACCTTTTTATTTATTTATTTATTTTTTGACAGGCAGAGTGGACAGTGAGAGAGAGAGACAGAGAGAAAGGTCTTCCTTTGCTGTTGGTTCACCCCCCAATGGCTGCTGCAGCTGGCGCACCGCGTTGATCAGTAGCCAGGAGCCAGGTGCTTCTCCTGGTCTCCCATGCAAGTGCAGGGCCCAAGGACCTGGGCCATCCTCCACTGCACTCCCGGGCCACAGCAGAGAGCTGGCCTGGAAGAGGAGCAACCAGGACAGAATCCAGCGCCCCGACCAGGACTAGAACCCGGGGTGCTGGCGCCACAGGCGGAGGATTAGCCTAGTGAGCCATGGCGCTGGCCTAGACTTTATTTTTAAAAGAGTCCTCTAAACACTGGGAATATTGTCCTCATTTCTTGTATCAAAACATTGTGAATGGCCGGTGCTGCAGCTCACTGTGCTAATCCTCCACCTGTGGCACCAGTACCCCGGCTGCAAGTCCTGTTCGTTGTGCCGTACTCAGCCCCGGTTGCTCCTCTTCCAGTCCAGCTCTCTGCTGTGGCCCAGGAAGGCAGTGGAGGATGGCCCAGGTCCTTGGGCTCTGCACCCGCATGGGAGACCAGGAGGAAGCACCTGGCTCCTGGCTTCAGATCAGCGCAGCGCGCTGGCCGTAGCAGCCACTTGGGGGGTGAACCAACGGAAAAAAAGAAGACCTTTCTCTATGTCTCTCTCTCTCATTGTCTAACTCTGCCTGTCAAAAAAAAAAAAAAAATCATTGTGAATGGTTTATGTCACTCTTTTAATAAAATGCGTGGCCAAGCTCCGTGTCAGAGAGGAGAATGGCCCGATACTCTCTTACCCTATGCAACTAATGGAGAGAACAAGCTCACAATATACTCCAAATTTAGCGAACCTGTGTGGAAAGGACAGCTATGAGATCTAATAACAAATCCTCAAAGCCCTCTAAACAATTGTCCCTCACCTCAAAGCAATACAGAAAATAGTGGGTAAAGCTGCCACCTGCAGGGCTCTCTGCTAATGCGCCTGGGAAAGCAGTGGAACAAAGTCCAAGTCCTTGGGCCCCTCACCCACATGGGAGACCTGGAAGAAGTTCCAGGCTTCAGATTAGCCCAGCTCTGGCCAATGTGGCCAACTGGGGAGTGAACCAGAGAACAGAAGACCTCTTTCTCTCTCTCTCTCTCTCTCTCTCTCTGCCTCCGCCTCTCTCTAATTCTGCCTTTCAAATAAATAGATATTTTTTAAAAGTTCATGGAAAAATGGAGCTGAAAGATAATACACATTTCCCATGAATCTCAAAAATTCAAAAAAAAAAAGAAAAAAGAATTCTTCACTTGAGCATGTCTCACATTTTGTTACCCTGACACTTTCTCGATATAAAAGTGATGCTATCATTGCACTGGAAAGTATCGCTCAAAAGAAAATCGGCCATGCTGAACGAAGCTGGATGCCGTGTGCAGCGGAGCTCTCAGCACCAATTTTCTCTGCTTTGGTGTGTACAAAATGTTCCACAACAAGCTTAAAGAATTCTTGCTCGGAGATTAGTATGGCACAAGGAATAATAAATACAGGTTTGGCTGATTAGAAATATCATCAAAGAGAAAGACGTATATAATGGATATTTTTGAAATTATCATATGAAAGTAGTTTCCATCACTTTCCTTACAGCCATGCTAATATCTGTTATGAAAAACAACATGCCGCCAGCACCACGGCTCACTAGGTTAATCCTCCGTCTACGGCACTGACACCCCAGGTTCTAGTCCCAGTTGGGGCGCTGGATTCTGTCCCGGTTACTCCTCTTCCAGTCCAGCTCTCTGCTGTGGCCCGGGAAGGCAGTGGAGGATGGCCCAGGTCCTTGGGCCCTGCACCCGCATGGGAGACCAGGAGGAAGCACCTGGCTCCTGGCTTCAGATCAGCGCAGCGTGCCGGCCGTAACGCACCAGCCGTAGCGGCCACTTGGGGGGTGAACCAATGGAAAAGGAAGAGCTTTCTCTTTGTCTCTCTCTCTCTCTCACTCTCTAACTCTGCCTGTCAAAAAAGAAAAAAAAAAAAAAAAAGAAAGAAAGAAAAAGAAAAACAACATGCCATACTGGTATGAATCCACAGATAAAAGGTAGCAAGTGTTTTCCATCCCAATGGCCATCACAAAAAAACATTTTTCCCTTAACTAAAGGTTCATGCATGTTATTAAAAGTGGCTGTCACATTTGTCAACATATTAATGAGATGTTTATCTCACTGTCTTGCTTATCATCCACAAGTTTGTTTTAAAGGTTTCTATGGCTACAAAAACTCCTGCCTGTGAAAACAAGGTAACATTCATTGTATCAGTGTTTATAATAGGAAAAATATGCAAATAGGCAACATGGCCATCCACACAACACTGTAATGGTAAATGAATTCCAGATAAATTTTTAAGCCAATAAATACTCTAAATATCTGAGACAAAAATAACAAAATGACTGTTAACACTTAACAAATCCAGATGGTGAGTATGTGAGCATTCCATTCTATTATTCTTTATACTTCCTACACTTCTGAAAATTATTTTATGGGCTATTCTGAAGGCTCTGTAGGGAACAAGGACATAAATTCACCTTACTGCCCTGTTCTCTATAATAGAACACCAGGTTCAGCTCAAACTATTTTCAGTATTCAATAAGAAAAAAAGTCAAGAAACTTAGAGAAGAGTCACAATGATGTAAGAATCTAAAAAGGAGCCGTTTTCCAAAATAAGACCCAAAGAACCAAACAGGCATAGTGGAGTTCCACAAAAACAACTCAAGAGCAAAGGGAAAGGGAAGAACAGCAAGTATCAGCAACAAATTCAAAACCTGGGGAGGGGTGGCGAGGGCAAGGAGACCAAGAAAGAGGGCTAATTTTGTCCGAACACCATCCTACCATCTGCCATGGGACGCATGCCTGTCTCCCTCCCCCGCCCCCCATTCACATGTTATTTGATAGGAAGTTATTTGAAGGTACAGCCTTTGGGAAGTCTTCATATTTAGATGAGGCCATGAGGGAGGAGCGCCCATGATGGGATGAGTGCCCTAGAAAAGGAGGAAGAGAGAGGAGCTCTCTCCATCCACCAAGCCTGGAAGAGGGCCCCCACTCGGCCCCCAACCACCCTGGCCCTCTGCCTCCAGGAGTGTGAGAAATAAGTGCTGGTTGTCGAAGCCACCCAGTTGTTGATGATCTAGTAAAGCAGCCCAAACTAAGACTCTGCATGATTGAGAGGAGCAGGAAGGGGTGACCAGTTTGGCAGAAACATCACAGGTGAAGAGCTGATTCCTTCAGGGCATCGAACCACATATCTAAGGGCACTCCTTCAGTACCAAACCAACCAACAACTGACTTCTCTGACACCAGCTCACGCATGCTCAGAAAAGTACAGGAGTGGGGCAGGCAGATTTCTGCAAGGACCCCAGTGATCCCCGACTGTCATCAGGATTCATATCTGTGGCACGTCCCCTTGAGGGTGTGGCGGATCTAACAGTTTGCTTGTTACAAACAGAACATGGCCAGTCACGGCTGTCACTTCTGTGGTCAGGTCACGACAGACGGCGTCTTCCCCCGCGTTGCCCTCTCTCCTGTGCTGGCACCCTTTCTTGCTTTCATGAAGCCAGGTGACCCATGTGAGATGCTCCAAGGCAAGGAACTGAGTAAGGGGGCCAGCATTTGGTGCGGTGGCTAAGACGCTGCTTGGGACAGTCGCAGCTCATAGTGCAGTGCCTGGATTCTGGCTGCTCGGTGTCCAATCCAGCTTCTGGTAATGTGTGTCCTGGGGGCAGCAGATGATGGCTTAAGCAGCTGGGTCCTGGACACCAACATGGCCAACCCTGACTGAGTTCCAGGCTCCTGGCTTCAGCCTGCCCCAACCCTTGTTGTTGTGGGCATTTGGAGAGTGAACCAGAGGATGCAAGATCTCTGTCTCTCTGCCCTTCAAATAAAATGAAAATAGATGAATAATACTTTTTAAAAGAAAACTGAGTGAGGCCTGTGAAGAACTGTACCCTGCTGACAACCACGTGAGCAGGCTAGGAGGTGGACCCTTCCTAGTCAAGCCCCGAAATGACTGAGAGACCCAGAGCTAAGCCTGACTTCCAACCCACAGAACCTGCAAGAAAATAAACGTGTAGTGTATTTACACTGCCAAGCTGAGGGATGTATTCTGCAGCAATATGCCAGCAAGAGAGAGTTCAAGAACCATCTACTGGGGTTGGCGTTTAGGCTAGCAGTTAAGACGCTATTAAAGACACCTGTGTCCCACACTGACATGCTTGGACTCAAAACCCAGCTCCAGCTCCCGACTCCAGCTTTCTGCTAATGCAGACCTGGGAGGCAGTGGCAATGGTTCAAGTGGTTAGGTTCCCGCACCCATGTGGAAAACCTGGGTTGAGGCCGGCGCCGCGGCTCACTAGGCTAATCCTCCACCTTGCGGCACCAGCACACCGGGTTCTAGTCCCAGTCGGGGCACCGGATTCTGTCCCGGTTGCCCCTCTTCCAAGCCAGCTCTCTGCTATGGCCAGGGAGGGCAGTGGAGGATGGCCCAAGTACTTGGGCCCTGCACCCCATGCTTCCATGGAGCACCTGGCTCCTGCCTTCGGATCAGCGCGGTGCGCCAGCCAATGCACGCTGGCCGTGGCGGCCATTGGAGGGTGAACCAACGGCAAAGGAAGACCTTTCTCTCTGTCTCTCTCACTGTCCACTCTGCCTGTCAAAAAATAAAAAAAATATATATAAGCTCTGTGAAGACCTGGGGCAGACTTTGCTTAGAAGTACTTTTTTGTTGTGTACTTCAAAGAATCTGTAAACTCCTCAGCTACTCCAGAGGTGGGAGACAGATGGGTAAGCAGAGGTCTGTACCATCCCAGAGTATGAAAAACCAAGAG